GGGCTGTATCAGTATTTAACTTGCAAAACAAAACCCAACCTGCTTCCTGAGCCCCACCCCGCCAGAGTCCGGTTTCACCGGTTGGGGTGGGCCTGGACATGTGTTCCTGCAAGGTCCCACAGACTCTTGTGCAGCCATCGTTGCAGCTGTCTTCGATCACCTCTGCTAACCCCCGACTCTCACGCCAACATTTTACAGCTGAGGAAAGGGAGGCCCAGAGAGGGATGTGACTTGCCTGAGGTCACACAGTAAATGAGCGGCAAACTCAAGACCACAGTGCAGATCTGATGGCCTTTGGTCCGCTGGACCAAACTGACAGATGTGCAGGGACATCGTTGCGGTTGTTTCTCAAAGGCAACTCTGCTAAATGGCAGCATCCAGGGGTGCAGACGTGACTGATAACTAAAACCGTCTTTATGTCTGCAACTTTACCTGGCGGTGCCACAGCTGCGACTCTGCTCCCAGGCTGTGCTGGGGGAGCTGCCCCTCCCCCGCCTGCCAGCAGCTCGCCCCTGCCCACCACCCCGGCTACCTCCCCCACACGTTCGAGTCAAGCCACAGTAACCACTTCATATTGGTAAGTTAGCAATTCTTCCTGAATTGATCCATAGATTCAAAACAATCCCAATCAAAATCCTAGCAGGCTCGTTTGCAGAAACTGACAGGCAGATCTTAAAATTTATACAGCAATGCAAAGGACCCAGAAGAGCCAAAAGAATTTGAAAAAGGTGAAGTTGGAGAAGGCATACCTTCGTGTTTCAAACTTAAACTCTTACGTATATGTTGATTTTTGACAGAGGTACAGCGTGGGAAAGCATAACATGGCGTTGACATTTTGTATATCCATAGGAATTTAGATCCTTACCTCACACCATATATGAAAATTCAAAATGGCTCAAAGACCCATTTTTAAGAGCTAAAACTATACAACTTCCAGGATATAACACAGGAGAAAATCTTTGTAACCCTGAGTTAGCAGAGATACAGTACTAAAAGTACAATCCAAACAAGAAAAACGAATAAATTGGACTTCATTAAAATTAAATACAAGTCTAAAACAAAAGACACCATTAAGAAATTGAAAACACAAGTCAGAAAATACTTGCAAAAGTATTTTGGGAGAAAATACTTGCAAATCCGGTCTTACAAATGACTTATATCCAGAATATATTAAGAACTCTTACTATTCAATAATAGAAAACAATGCAATTAAAAAGTGAGCAAAAAATTTAAATAGACATTTTACTAAAGAAGATACACAGATGGCCCACAAGCACATGAAAAGATACTCAACATCATTAGCTGTCAGAAATATGTAGATCAAAGCCACAAGGAGATACAACTTTACACTCACGAGGATGGCTATCATGACAAAAAGACAGCTAATCACAAGTGTTGGTGAGGATGTGGATATTGCTAGTGGCAATGTAAAATGATACAGCTTGTTTCAAAAACAGTCTGGCAGTTTCTTACAAAGTTAAACGTATGTCCATAAAAAGACTTGAACACAAATGGTCACAGCAGCATGTGAAAACAATCTGCATGTCTATAAACTGGTAAATAAACAAACGAATTGTGACAGAGCTATACAGAATACTATTCATCAATGAAAAGGAAAATAACCACCAAAAAGTTAGCTACAACACTACGAACCTCAAAAAACATCGCTAAGTGAGAGCAGCCAGGTGCCAAAGACCACATTGTCTGATTCCATTTACGTGAAATGTTCAGAAATATCAAACCTGGAGGGCAAGAAGTGGATCAGTGGCTGCCTGAGGCTTGAGTGGGGCTGGGTATGAGGCTTAATTGCAAACGGGAATGAGAAATCTTTTTGAGTTGATAGAATGTTCTAAATTGGTTGTGATAGTTGCACAAATCTTTAACTTTACTAAAAATCATCTAAGTATGAACTCCAAATGCATACATCTTCTGTAGGTAAATTATACCTCCTCCCAACTGTTCAGGGGAGAGTAGGAAGCGCAGGCTCTGGATTCGGTTCTTGGATTCAAGTCCTGGCTGTGCTGACCAGCTGTGTTGCTCAGGCCAAGTTAAACTTTGGGCTTTAGTTTTCTCATCTGTAAACTGGGAGTTAGAGGAGAACATAGGTCGCAGAGTCAATGTGAGAATGAAACGAGTTAATACACGTGAAATGCCTAGCACAGTGCCAGCACGTATCTAGTACGTGGGTGTTAGCTACTACTTTTCTCATTAGGATTATTAGGGTCCCATTCATCCAATTAATTCTTGCCAATTTCACTTAGTAAGTCATTCTCCGATTCATCACCTTTTTAGCTTCTTCCCTGGCCTTAAGCTCGGCACCACCTTTTAGATAAAACACTTGCCACAGTCTCCTGCCTCCCTAACTTCCTCCAGGGTTGTCCCCTCACATCCAGCCTCCATAGCACCGAGGGCCACACGGGAAATGCGAACACGTATAACCGGCAAACCTGTCTGCAGGGTCAAGTTCAATTACACACAGTGCCCTCCTAGATGGGGTCCCTATGGAACCTCCCACCCCTCTCCACCCCTACCCTACACTCACATCAAAGCAGCACATGTCCTCCTGCACTCCCTGCAGCCACTCCTGCTTCTGTCCCCTCTGCAGAAGTGGCCCTCTCTCCCCTGCCTTCATCTACCTACCACGAGTCCTTTCTGGCGCAAATGAGGCCACGCCCCCATGCGGCTTTCCCAGCATCTTGAGCTGGGCTCACTGCTGGCCTTTGTGTATTACAGATGTAGCCCTATCATGTGCCCCACAACAGCAGCCTGTGCGTAGCTCCACACTGAATGCAGACGCACAGACTGCAAAAGACGTTCCTTTCCTGAAGCGTGAACTTATAGCACGTGCTCCCGCCTAGGACACTGTAGATGCTCGATAAAATGCTGTCAGATGAAGGACCAGGCCACTCACGATTTTCTCAGCCCTTCATCTACTGAAAATGCTCTTAGGCTTCCAAACAACCAGGCCCTTTGAAGCATGTCACTTAAGGAAATGAGCGGCAGAGGCTGTCTAAGATGACGGAAATCCTACTGAGGTGCTCTCTATTCTGAAGGACCACTGTGAGCAGCACATGAGAGAAAGTGTCGGGGTCATGGCACCTCCTATGTGGGGCCACTTCTGTCCATGGCTGTCAGCAGTGCATCAAAACTTAGAGAGATGGCTGGTAAAGTTAATGTCCCCAACAGAAATTTCCCATGGCTGGTAAAGTTAATTTCCCCAGTAGAAATTTTCCTGACTTACCTGACATCAGAGTTGCTAAACTCTAAAACTCTTGATCTGTTACGAATTTTTGAGATATCTCATAGTAGGAATATAAAGACAATCAACTTTAGGAGGATTTTTTTTTAAAAAGAGCTTAATGACTGAACTTTAAATTATGGGGGAGGGGGGGAGGAATACAATTATCTGATGCCTGGGTTCCACCCCGGATATTCTCAGTTAATGGCCTGGTGTGGGAGCCACGCAGAAAAAATTTTTTAAAAGTTCAACAGATAATTCTAAAGAATTCTAAAGAATACCAGATAATTCTAAATATCCCAGCAAGGGCTGAGATCCATTTTTATTAAATCTTAAATTAGTTCCTTTATTTACCAGTTTTCTCATCTATAAAATGGCGGTGGTTATACTTGGATTTATGGATAACTTGAGCATCCTTCTGAAAGTAAAATTCATAAATAAATGTTAATCAGATTCCTTTCTCCTTTTCTCAATACCTTGGATTATCTTAAAAATAAAATCTGGCTCATTAAATCCACCAGGTCAATGAGCATTAATGTCCATATAAGATATAAACATTTAAAATCCATTGAAGAATAGTTTAAAAGGCCAAAAAACCAAAAACAAATCCCCAAACCATAATCTTAATAACCAACAATTAAGTGTATATTAAAATCAAGGTGTGATTCCATAAGAGAATTGAGCATAATCTTAAATCCAGAAGATAAAGCTGTATGTCCTTAGAATAAAATCCCAATTTGTAGACACGGCATGTTTTTCTCTAATCATGAAAGGGAAAAGAGAAGGGATATCAAGAAAGTACTGACCAGGTACTGGCTTGTGCCTGCATTACAATGGACCCGAAGGAGACATGTGAAGTGACTAGAACAATGAAAGTCTCTTTTAAAGTACACTGAACATGACAAAATTTAGTATTAGAATCTTCTTAAAATGGAAAAACTTAAAACAATCGCACTCTGTAAATATCTCAGTTTTCTTCTCCAGAAACATCCCATCGACTAAATTTCTTTTCATTCTTTCAAGAAACATTTTATCATTGATACTTTGATATCTGAATTAATATATATCTCCCAGCTTTAAAAAGCTTCTTGTTTTTTTAAAAAATCCTATTAAAAAAACATGAACACCTGAAAGAGTCAAAGTTTTAAAACTCTTTAAAACCCTGGGTCTACTTTAGCTTCTCAAAATAAATATTAAAAAATAAAACATAGACCAAAGTCCTTATTGTGTTACACAAGAACGCTATGAAGAAAAGACTTAATTTTGGCATAATACTTAAAACCATGCACATACAGTTACAGAGTAAAATCAGTCTCCACACCAAGAAGATCCTTACCAAATAGGTTTCTCATAAATATATTTTGATCCACTTTACCAGTGTTATTGTATCTGTTATCATTATTTCATTATCTTTTATTAAAAAATAAATTTGAAGAGTAAAATTGTATGGTGGCAAAATAATTTTGAATTAAATTTCCCTACTTAAAAAACATAGAGAGCTACATTTTATAATGGGGAAGACTATAATTAATACCTTATTGCTATTAACAATGTCATTATTAAATAAAACAAAGGGAAGGGTGATGTCGTTCTAAATACAATCTTACTGGAAATTAATAAAGCACATAACGTAGAACTGTGATATATATAAAGAGAACACTAGGCAACACATACTCAATTAGCAGAGGATTAGCCTTAGATGCATCAGCGACGCACCATTTTTGCCATATGAAAAAATGCACATAAAAGACACAAAACAAGATATACTTATTACTTTCAGCATGTTAAAAATCACATCAAAAAAAGTATACAGATAAAAAATGTCATAGATGACATAAGAAAATAGTGCTTGTGTGTATGTGTGTATATATATATATATATGTTGCATATATATATAAAAATCTACAGTATTTACCACGTTGATATATATATTTTGGAGCAGCTCAGACACTGCTATCATAAACTAAATTGTACAGCTTGGTTTATTGTAAGTCACAGAATCATGGTTCAAAAATTAGAATTAATATCCTCAGCTACATTTTTATATACATTTATTTCTCAGGTTCCACATGATTTAAATCAAGAGCCTGGTTATTTTACCAGGGTTTTGTTTGAGCTTCAGTGTAGTGTTCAGCTTAATACACTGCGTTTGTTTTGCCATTTAATAACATCATTACCAAGTTGATTAAAATTACATTAGACTCATTATATACATAAAAAATATTGTCACATTCACTAGCTAAACAAATGTTACTTTCATTTTAACAGACAAACTTTTGTACCTTGAAAGCTTAAAGTTCCAACTTGCAACAGGAAGAACCATCAGTATAGGTTTTCTACTCTCTAGTATTCAAATGGAAGCAAACTAATGTTGAAAACAAGCTCCCCAATTAAATATGAAGTCAGACTTTCTTTGTCAGTGTTTTGGTGATTGTAGTGTAATAGGGTATTTTAAAAGACATTACTAATTTTTTTTTTACCATGAACCTGAATTTTTTTCAATGAAAAAGAAAAAAAAAGATTTTCAAAAGCATGAAAGCAACACTATATTTTTTTAAAAGATCAAAATCCTACACTCCTATTAACAATTAGGATCATTTTTTATAATTTTTACATGGCTATAATTTAATGGCCCGATTAAGAACAGTATAAAACCCATTGACTACATTCTCTAAAGAAATAATGCCAGGATCATGTAAACGACCACCCTGGGGCAGAACTGAGAAGTAACCATGTTGTCAATCCTGCTTCCAAATGAATTTCAAAGGCATTTGTGCTGCGTCCTGGGCCAGCGATGCTGCAGTATGTTGCAGCTTTTCCCGCGGCACCCACTGGAGAGCTGCTCCCGGGGTCGCCTGGGCATCTGGCGGGGACAGCCTGCTCGGAGCTTTGCAGGAGTCGGACCAGAGCAAAGGGCACGAGAGCGCTAAGACTGGCCTGGTAAACAGGTGTGAGGAGCCCTACACCTCTGGCCATAACCTTATTTAACTGCCTCGATTTTTAAGCACCATTGAGTGGTTAGCCTTTCTCTCCAATATATTTAATTTCCAGATTCAAAGAAAATGATAGCAACTGAAGGAGAATGATGAGCATTCTGTGAGATATTGAATTAATATAATCGGGGAAACTCTTTAGTCAGGTTAAAATATGAGAGGAAAAAAACTGGACTAAAAGACATTAAGGAAAAGAAGAATAACATGTTATTCCACGGGTCTAGATTAAAAGTAGTTTTTTAAAAACACTTCTTTAGTTCTGTGTTCAAATGTGTATGCATCGATGCCTATGACAGCTATTAAAAGACATACACACTACACGTAGCCTTAAAAATACCTAATCTATAGTTTTTCAGTACTTTGTAACATTAGTCTAAATAGAACGGGCCAATAGAGTAAAAATGTTCAGTTTTTGGAGAAAGATATAAATGAAACTGAGTAATAAATTACCACTGTGCGTGCATCCCTAACTGCTATTGCTGTTTCCAGGTTAAATTCTTTTTAACAGGGTCAGTGATGATGTAATTTAAATGCTCATCTTAAGCAGCATCTACATGAGGATGAAGACATTTCCATATATTCTTATCACTAACAGACACCAGGGTTGTGCAAGTTGCTCACAATAGTATAAAATACTGCTTTGGCAATCACAAACATAGCAATGTGGGTTTCCTGTGGTTTCTACTCTCGGCGCCGGCGAGCACAGATCAATTGTCACAGCAGCACTGACTCCTGAATGGAAAGCCCGTCCCGGTTCCTGTAGTGGTAGGCTGGGGGCGAGGGCCCTGAATACTGATAGGCAGGAGGACTGGCGTCCTCCAGCGCGCGCGAAGGTCTGTACCGCACGGGGCTGTCCACCGAGACGGCAGGCAGGCCGTGGTCCTGGAAGGGGGCGTGCGGAAAGGCCGCGTATTTCGCCATGTTGCCACGGCCGGCGTCCCGAGCCCACGACTGCCCGTGCACCTCGGGCCTGTAGGTGTAAGTCACTTCCGACCACTTTCGGTTATCTGGCAAGTAATCCACCGGAGGAAGGATGAACTGCGTGTGCTTTGGTGACCCCGAGTTGCCCGGGTGCCCGGCGGCGGCACCGTCCACGGGAAGCACTTCTATCCGGCTGGGCGGCAGCACGATCGGGGCGGGGCGGCCGGGCGCTCTGTCCGGAGAGAGGTCTATGGAAAGGGTAGAGCCGTAAGGTCTCCCGGAAGGATGACCTGGGGCCCCGGGGCTGAAGTGGGGGGACCCAAAGCTGTTGGCAGCGGGGAGGTATTTGGGGGCGTCGCCGTGGGCGGGCGGGTGCGCGTAGCCTGGGGGCTGCGCCCTAAAGGGGAACCTGCTGGGAGCCTTGGCTGGGCTGGCGCTGGGGTCCGCGAGCCTCCGCGGGCTGCTGGCGGGGGCGACGGTCCTCGGGCTGTGCGAGCGAGCCCTCTCCAGGGCCTCTTCCACGGCAGCCGCGCCTTCGCCCTCCTCGCCGGGCACGCTGTCGCCCGGCACGTTGTCGTACTGCGACGCGGTGGAGCCGCGCTTGCCGTCCTCCACCTCCAGGGCCCTGGGCCGCGCGAGCGACACCCGGGCGTCGCCAGGGCTCGCGGGGACTGTGAGCGTGGGCTGTCCCGCTCTGCTCTTACCTTCGGCGAGTCTGGCAGTTCTCTCCAAAGCTGAGCCATCCGACGGTTTGTTCCACCTGGGCACGAATTCCTTCCTGACGTTGGAAGTGGCGTTGCTGTTTTGGTTGGCAGTGGCGTGATTATACTGCCTGGAACTGTCGTGTGGACCTGACGGGGGTTTTCTTTGAAAATCCGCCTCTTCCTTAAGCTTCTTGCCGTCCTCCTCCAGTGATTTCCGTCTTGGCTGCCTGGCGCGCTCCGGGGTGGCCGTCCTCCCCTGGTGGCGCGGGGAGTGCTCCTGTTTCCTGGGCTGCGACAACACCACGCTCTCCCTCCTGCTGCCCAAGTGCGGGCTCGGCCTGCCCACGCTTCTTTGGCCATTGCTCAGGTGACTGACGCCACCACACTGGAATTCAGGCGGAAGCTGCCCCAAAGGTTTCTTTGGATATTCATCCTCTTTACCTGAAGAGAAAATAAATTCATAAGTAAAACGAATACATGAGGAAACAGTATCCAGTGTAAGAGAGATATTTTTAATAACTGCATCCTTTTAGTATATGTGCAGACATTCATTCATACACACACTTTTACACCACAGAAAATTTTGGCAGCAGCCTGCAGAGGCCACCAACTTTTTAGTTCGCATGAAATATATATATATTTTTCTAGACAGAGTCTCGTTCTGTTGCCTGGGCTAGAGTCTATGGCGTCAGCCTGGCTCACAGCAACCTCAGACTCCTGGGCTCAAGTGATTCTCCTGCCTCAGCCTCCCAAGTAGCTGAGACTACAGGCATGCACCACCATGCCCGGCTAATTTTTTCTATATATTTTTAGTTGTCCAATTAATTTCTTTCTATTTTTAGTAGAGAGGGGGTCTCACTCTTGCTGGTTTCGAACTCCTGACCTTGAGTGATCCACCCGCCTTGGCCTTCCAGAGAGCTAGGATTACAGGAGTGAGCCACAGTGTGCCTGGCCTCACATGAAATAATTTTAAATGTTTTTAAAATTCTCCAGAGCAGTATTTTAAAAAAAAACCAAAAAAACCCAAAATCAGAGATTTCTAACGGAATTGCTGTTGCGCCTCACGCGCTCCCTCGGCACGTCAGTCCACCTGCGGGAGCTGCACGTGCTTCGGCCCCGGCTGCAGATGATTGGGCTGTCTCTGCAGTATTTCAATCTGTGCCAACCACAATTCATGAAAATTCAAGTCACTGGAAATTAGGTGTTTCAAATGGTAGCTACCCTTAGGTCTACATCCCAAATCTCAAAATTGGTTGGTTTCACTAAAAACAAGTTTCATGGACTGCCTTTTTCTGTTAGCAGAAAGTCACATATTTCATTACTTATGATCATTATGGTGCTTTCATGGTCCTCGCACATTTTCAATGTCAACAATGTAGAGAGACCAGCTACTACAGTCATTAAAATATATCTTATATAACCACATCAAAAAGACAACTGAGCAAAGCAAACATGAAAGGCAAAGAGTAGCAATACTTTGCAGATTCTTGTGTATAGTTTTCTATGTCCTGTGGTCACCAACTTAATGCTGGGAATGGTCAGTTTGGGGTTGGCTTCCATAGACCCTCGGCTATAGCTACTTTCTGATGATGGTGTAGTGAAATGGTGCCCTTTCTAAGCGTGGTGACCCAGCATTTGGGCGCCGTTCCAGGCTCAAACTAATTGAGTAAGATGGATGATGACTTCCCTTATCCTCAACGCCACTGTGGACAATGTGTTAGCTGTCTGGCAGTCACAAAGTACTGCCAGACTTTTTCATGGGCAGTGACTGCCAAACGTTAAGCTGTATGTCTACCTCTAAGGCATAGTGGAAAGAGCATGGTCACAGAAACAAACGACCTGAGTTTGAATCCGGCTCTGCCACTACTAAGCTGTGTGAACTTGGGCAAGTCCTGTAACCTGAGTCTCAGATTTCCCATCTATAAATGAACACGGCAATATCTGTTTTGTAGATTTGCTGTGAGGATGAGAGTTAACATATGAAAAAAAATCTAGCATATTTCCTGGCATATAGCAGATACTTAGCAATTGGTAGTTATTATTACTACTGCTCTATACTATATACAGTCATTACCTAACAATAGGAACATGTTCTAAAAAATGAGTCATGTTCTAAGAAGTGATTTTGTCGCGTCAACATCACAGAGCGCACTTACGCAAACCTAGATGGCCCAGCCTGCTATGCACCTAGGATATACGGCGTGCCTTCAAACCTTTGTTTGGTGTCTCAAAGATGACTGACACTCATGGTAATCTCATCTACAAGTTCACCTGGTCCAGTGGGATGTTCCGGGACACACTTACTATGTCTGGTCTCTTAAGTCACATCTCGGTCACATTTGGCTTCAAGTTCCTCTTATCAATATGTATTCAAACTTTCCCATTCGAAACACCTATTTTTTACTGAAAACGTGGAAGCAAAACGTTTGGGATAGTGCCTCCATCCCTCGGTCAGGACGAGTGGTCCTGTCCTGCCCTGTCTCTTCTCCATCAGATACACGAGGCACTGGGCTGCTTCAGTTACGCCGTCAGGGTGAGGAAGAGAGGCCAAGGATGGCAACAGGAAGATTTAATAAAGGACCAACGCCATGGGAAAAGATTAAAAAAACACATTAGAGGTAGGTGGAAGGAAGAAGGTGGGGAAGAAAGAGGACGAAGAGAAAGCGGAACATCTCTGGGGAAAACACTGCCATGGCACAGACTAGCTCTATGCTGTAACAGCCACCGAGGTTCATTCTGAAATCCCTAAATACATAAAAGGCACATATCAGCAAAGATTTAACTGGACACATAGTAAAATGTGGTATTATGGATATAAGGCATATATTTCTTAGCATTTAAAAATTAAAGAATTTAATAATTGAGACGTAACAGAGAGACTAAGATGGTAATTTCAGGCACAAAACAAAATGCAAGGGTATGTGTAATGCACACTTAGAAGTTATAACTCTTCAAGAAAAGTATTTACCTTATACTTAATGCTACTTTATGTTCCAGTAAACGGAAATTTCTCTAAGGAAGAGTGCTTACTATTCTGTGCAACTACTCATAATGTTATAATTAAAAGAAAAGTTTAACATGTTCCATTTATTGAATGGGCAAGAGGCTAAAATGCAAACTGGGAAAAGAATCTGAGAGTGTTCAAAATGTCTAAAAAGTAGCATCTTAAAGTTCCTCCATGATAGTCCACAATACATTCCCCTTTCCCCCAATTAGACCATAACCTAATTACTTCTTTTGTATTCCTTCCCATCATACCTAAAATAGGAATAGACTTACAAGGAAGTTGTTGACAAAATGTCCACTCATTCATACACAATTCATACAAATTAGAGTAATGATATAATGTCCAAATAAACAGGTCAAAAACATAATGGATATAAATATTCATGATCCACATAGCTAAGAAACTAGATGTAATAGGGTTTGGGGGGGACACACTATAGACAAAATGACATTGTACCTAATTAATTCCTAAATGACAACTCTTTAGGAACTACTGTATAAGAGGAATGTGGTAAGTACCTCAAATGCACAAAGACATCTAGAGGATAGGGCCTCTTTGCCCTGACAAAGATTTTCATAAAAATGGAAGGCGGCAGTAGACAGGGATGTAAGAAAGAGCCTCTGGGGGAGGGCATTTATTGAAACCTTAAAATCTGTTCCCCCATAATATGCCGAAATTAAAAAAAAATGGACAAAATAAAAAAAAAAAAAAAAAAAGTCAGGTCCCAGACCCTGTATACTTTCTAATATATGTAGGGTATATGCTACCATGGTTGCAACACAATGCCAACAGAAAAAAGCAACTGTCACTTGTCAGTGTTTGACTTATTCTTGTCCTAGGTCAGCCTTAGGTAGGGGACAGAGTTCAGAACAATTCCCCTGGGGTTTTCAGGAAAACAGTGGGCTGAGTGGGCACATTTTCCTGGTAAAAAAACTGAGAAGTGGAGGAGGAGTTACCAAAAGCCATCAGTCTGACACCTCACACTTTGAGATTCCTACAGATGGGAAAGGGGCTGTCTGTGGGTGAGGCTGCCTTGGAGATGAGCTGCCTACTGGTGGGCTTTCACCTGCATTTAACTTCTCTAGCAGAGGTAAATGTGCACAGATAGATGAATCTTTCAAGCCTTCTACTTTAAAGATATTTGGGTTTTTGCACCTATTTTTAAAATATAATTAATGACAACTAATAATTTACAAAGACCCTGTTCTACCTATCTGAGAAGTTGGAAATGTCAAGTGATTTTTGGACCCACTCACCTCAATGGAAAAAGCTAGAAACACTTCTTTTTTGGCTATTTCATGTCCCTTTGGATACTGGGTACTTCCCAAGGCACATTTTGCTTTGAGGAAACAGAAATATATGAGTAATCAACTGAATTTAAAATAAAATGTAAATCTTTCAATGCTTAAGAAGAAATGTTTTGAAGAGAGAGTTCTTTGGGGAGAGTATTCATTCACTATGTAACTTTAAATTTCAATATTTCATCATAATTAAAATCGTTCAATATGATTTAGATACAAATAATAAAAAAAAAATAAATAAGATTTTATTTCTATAAATTTCATTATATGTAGATTATTGATTGATAAACACCTTATATTCTTTAATCATTGGCCAAACACTACTACTTTTATTGAAAACTCTCTGGACTAAGGTCCTAACATACTTTATCTGAATTAAACTCCTAGACTTGTGAGGTAGAATCTAAGGGCTAATGTTTGTGAAGTGCTTAAAACAATGCCTGGCTTATTGTAACTGCCTACTAAAAGTTAAAAAAAAAAGAAAGAAAGAAAGAGCCTCTGAAAATATGGGTGCTTAAAGAAACCAATTCCTCCCAATTTAAGGACAGTAAGGACAGTAAAGCTAGGCTAGAAGGCCCTACGCAGTGGGATAAGGGTATCACACAAACCAAGGCCAGACTGCAGTGTCAGGGTTTGCTTAATTTCAAATAGTGTCAGTTCACTCCTACTTTCTACAGTGATCTGTGGCCTGGGAGTACACCACATGCTAACACGTGCAGTTAACACGTGACTTGTGAGAACACCATCAACATCTATCTTCCCTAATATTTGTTGACCAGTAACACTGTTAGATTGTGCCATATACAAGTCACTGCCTCTCATCACCACCTAACACCTCTGAATAGTGTAAAATTCTCAGAAATTCCCAACGATCAATGCACATGCATTGCTGACATTTCAGAGCTGGTCCTGGGGGCCCTTGGGGCAACACTGTGGAGGAGGAAGGTGAAAGGGTGGAAAGAAAGGAAGAGTAAGGGAGAGGAGACAGGTGAGGAGAGAAGGCAGTGGGGAGAGGACAGGAGGAGGTCAGGGTAGGCACACACTGTAGAGGACCAGAGGAGAAACTAGAAGAGCAGAGGCAGGCAGGACAGAGAGAGCAGGAGAGGGAGGAGGCCACAGGGACCCCCTGAGCA